AAACTTATGTTTTTTAATGTCAATCTAGACTATTCGCGATTTAATAATAACGTGTAATGTAAATGTAAGTACGATTTACTATTTGTATTGTTTAGTTTATTTTTCAAGTTATAATAAATATATCATTAGTTTCTTTCACTTCAATAAATATACACATAAACGATAATAGCCATTATGTTTGTTTATGTAGGTACTCTCTTACTTGAAACTACTTTTAAACAATCATAGTTACTTGTTTACAAAAATTTAAATTTTTAAATTCATTCATTTTTTTTGGAATCCTGAGAAAACTAACAAATATTTTTGAAAAATTTAAATGCAGAATAAAAGATTACATTATTACCGAGGGCCGAAAGTCCCTTAGAATAAACAAAAAGTTTTTTGAATGAGATATTTGAAATTAAAAATCACACTAATTTTTTTTTTCACCCTTATAACTTATTAAAATAAACATTATAGAAGTTTTCAGGGACTTTTGGCCTCGGTAATAATGTATTGGTTCATTCTGCGTTTAAATTTTTCAAGAATATTTATTAGTTTTATCAGGATTCGAAAAAAATGAATGCATTTAAAAAATATTAATCGCTCTTACGCTCTTAACGATAAAATTACCACGACCACCTCTACTACCCGTTACTCGGTGTTCTAACCAGACGGACGACGTTGCCAAATAAATTATTGTGTGTGAATATTTTTTAATGTGGTGTTATTGTATGCAGTTTATTATTTCATATTGGGAATAAGGCACAATGTGACTTTAAAATAAGCTTATTTTGATGTTTAGATTTTTAATTCGGAAATCGTACTTAAAATACGAAACATTAATAAATTTTATTTAGGTATATAAAACGATTTCCAAAGTGGAAATCAAAATGTTATATTACACTTATTGTAAAGTAAACTTGTGGCATATTCCCAATAAAAAAAACAGTAAGCTGCCATTTAAATCAATTTCGCCCAAATTGGATTATCTTGGAACATTGTTCAAATGCAAAAAAAAACAACAGGTCAAATAAATCCAATAAGTTTGGCAACGTTGAACTTCCCCTTTCCAGGCATGCATGTTTGGCCACCGTTTGGCGATATAAAGGGCGGACCTAATATACCTCTCTTTTCTAAACAGCTGTTTCTCACTCCATCTCACGTAAGGTCCATACCGACCATAAAATTTTTCCTACACTGTATTATCATTCACTACCTTTTATACCATCATTAACTCCTAAATTAATACAAACACTAAAGGTTATTGACAATATAAAAATAGCAACAAAGAACATCAAAACCATTTCATCTTTATATTCCAAAACTAAATATCCTATAGAAAAATTAGATCAAACAAATGTCGTATACAGCAGAATTAAGAAACCATCTTCTGCTTTGGCAGAGCATGTAATAGACAAAGACCATATTATGGATTTTGATCATATTAAAATTTTATGTAGTGAAATAATAAATTTAAAAGAACTTTTTTGGAAATGGTTTGTATTAGCAAAAGTGATAATAATTTAAACAAAAATCAGAAATTCAAAATCTAAGCAAAATTTATAATTATATTGTTTCTATGTAGTTTATATATGCAGTCAGTAATATATCACATATTGAATTTTCCATGTATTTGTTACATTTTTTCAGGCATCTATCTAAATGTTCTTCTTTTTTGTTACTAAACAAAGAAGAATTTTTTAAACAAAATTATATTTTTGACAATATGTCAAAATAAAAAATTTTTTAAGTTAGTATTTATGACATTTAGGCTGGTTTGTAGCTATTCAATTTTTGTTTACAAATTCAATTGTTTTTGTTAAGAAACTTTATCAAAATTTATTTCAGAGAAACATTTATTAGAATAGGACATTTTTGTAATACTATTTTTTGTAATTAATATGTAAGCAGCAGTTTTATATATAAAACTAATTTTATTTGGTGAGTTAACAAAAATTTTTTTATTTCTAGTTCAACTTTGTAAGATATTTTGTATATATATATATATATTATATATATATATATATATATATATATATATATATAACAACAAAGTTTATTAGGGCTGCAGTCAGAACTTTTGGTCGGGATGTTACAGAAACACTCTTTTGACTTTTGGTCTAGCTTTCGGAATTGTTTAATTCCTTTTTCAAGACATAATCGTTGAGATTATTTGTATAAAGCTATGACACTCAACAATATTAACACACATATAAAATATATATTTGTGTGTAAATAAAATAATGGACAAAATATATTTTAAAGTTTTTAAAGATAGTAAAAATTCGTTTGTGACATCTTTTAATGGTGTGTTTTGACTTAGTCAAAACTTAGTAGTATGACCATATTATGGATTGTGATAACATTAAAATTTTGTGTAGTGAAAGTTATAAATTCAAAAGGAATTTCTTAGAAATGGTTTGAATTGGCAAAAGTGATAATAATTTAAACAAAAGATCAGAAATTCAAAATCAAAGCAAAATTTATAATTATATTATTTCTTTTTAGTTCATATATGAAACCAGTAAAATATCACATTTTGCTTTAATTTTACATATATTTGTTACATTTTTCCAGGCATATATCAATGGTGAATAAATCTCTTTCTTTTTTTACTAAACAAAAAAGAATTTTAAAACAAAATTTTATTTTTGGCAATTTAATCAAGAATAAAAATTTTAAGTTGGCATTTTTGACATTGAGGCTTATTGTAACTGTTCGCTATTCTAACTTATTTATAAATTCAAGTGCTTTTTTGTTAAGAAACTTTTTCAAAATTATATTAAAATTTCACAGAAACATTTATTACATAATAACATATTTATAATAATTTTTTTGAAACATGTTAGCAGCAATTTTATTAACCAAACTAATTGCATTTGGTGAGTTACCAAAAATGTTTTTCTTTCTAGTTCAACTTTGTAAGATATTTTGTATTTTTTAGCAGCTCTTGATAATAATTGTAAACACAATTATACGCTCGAGATAAAAAATAGTTAACCAATAGCCCCTATTATTGTCTCCAAACCATCCAAAACATTTATATATTTTTTTCCAAACGAGTCACAAGTGCTTCTTTTTTTCTTACTCTTATAACTTTAAAACAATATTTGTTGGACGAGTTTTTGAAGTAGGCGCTGGACACATCTTACTCCACTTTGTTTTTTTTTATCTTTGGCAAGATAGTATTTTGAAATTATTTTTTCTTCATCTTGTTTCCCTTAAATCTCTTCGTCGTCACTACCATCTATATTCGGCTCTAGTTTTTTCCCTATTTCATTATTTCATTCAATCCGCATTTTTTCAAAATTCCATATTTTTGATGCAGCTTTTTTTGTCAAACGTTTATTTAAAATGTCATTTACAAATTTTAAAACTGCGCTTTTATTATAGTTCTCCAAATATTTTAATCCAGATTTAGATTCTGGCATGACAAAGTATTTTGCAAAATTACCTCAAAAAACGGCTTAAAGTAAGGGTATAATATTGTAAACAATAGAGCTGAAGCCATCCCTACTACTCCGCGTCTGTTAGACTTTTAATTGTATTTTCTGGTAAAATGTAAACAAAGTTTAAAGTTATGATTTTGTGTAAAAGGTTTTTAGAGTACTCAGTGATTGGCAGCAGTACAATACAGTTTGTTGGCAGTAGGCAGTAACTTTATTATTTTTGTGAAATCATTAGTCACTTTGTTTTTTAAATACAGGACCTTGTATTTTACTTTATTGAAATCTCTCTTTCAATACCAGTTTAACTGTGTTCAATAGTCTTAATATTTTTAATCTATCTACAACTATAAGTTAGAATAAAATAAGTAAAAGGGTACTGCATTGCTAAATTAATGTCTCCCTAATCAAGTGTTCAAAATGTCATTCGTTGTTATTTTGGCAGTATCGTAAACGATGTTTACGGAGTGTGGACAAATTCAAATATAGTTCAAAGTTCGAATTGTTTCGAAAGAAAAATTTATAATAGACTGCGTCCCAAACTAGTCCCGAAGCTATATTTATAATCTCACTAAAATGCTACGATTCATCAATTAAGTGTATTTCTGTATAACTGTAATTAAGCTTCTAATCAATATGTTTAACAATTATACCTGGTGAAACTGTACAAATTCAGAAATATAATATCAATTTGAGATTACAAATTAATGAACTAATTTGTCATGCGCCTATGCGTATGCACCCCTTGCCAGCAATTCTTTGTATTATATGATAACTATGTTGCCCTTAAATATGCTGTAACTATCTTATCCTATGTCATGTCATTTTGGTATAAATTGGTACCACACCATTAAGACAACCAATAAATCCATTCTTAATTTTATTGCTTTTTGTCACTACACTTACCTATCTAAGCATTTTTATTTCCGGATAATCATTCATTGTTCTTTTATGTTTTGATGTAGAAGAGTAAGTGCTGTTAACTTAGCTATTTGGCTATCTATTACCGTCTTGTTCTTATTTAGGTGCCGTCTATAATAAAGGTTGGCGATGATTTTTGCAAACGCCCCTCTATCCGGTGCAGGTTTACTCAAATCCAGTCCTTGATATTGCGCAGTCATGACAATGTGCCATTTATCGTCTACCGAAGAATGCTCTTTTTTTCAAAAATATTTGGAGGAATATATGGCCAAGATAAGATGTTTGCGTTTTTAATTAGTTCTACAAGTTCACAATCCCTATTCGTACGGGCTAAAACTTCTTTTAAAAGTTTTTTAGGCGTTGTACAGAGCTAATTGTCAGCGTCTAGGATTCCATTCCATCTATAAAAGTCTTAAAATCCACGTATATTATTCATTCAACAAAACATTAATACATCTCACTAAAATATTTAAATGGAGAAAGCAAGTAGAAAATAATACGTATATTAATGAGAATTAAATAATTTTAATCTAAAAGTTGCAATATTTATTAAATATTATGTTTTCACCTTAACATGAAATTTTTGTCTCATTAGCTTCTAATTTTCTGTTAAGCATTATTACATTTAAAACATGTTTTTTTTATTTTTAGGGAGCACTCTATATACTACACCTTATTGCCTTTGCTACAGCTGGAGTTATCAGCCCTGTATCAGAGATAATAGAAGGCCCAAGTTCCAAAACAACTGTGGTTGGTCCTGATGGCAGCGTTATAACTGCGGTTGCCCAAGGTGCAAAAATTGTAGCAAATGGAGAAACAGCTATTGTATCGGGACCTGATACCGCAGCTGTTCTAAAGTCAGCAGATGAACCAGCTGTACTCGAAACTAAAGTTCAACCAGTCGCGTTGGTTAAGTCACCCATCGCTATACCCGTTATTGCATCAAAAAGTGGTATATTGGAGCACGGACAATTGGTAACTGACGAAAACAATGTTTTAGTAAACGCACATATTGCCCCTGTAGCAGTTCACAGTTCTGCAATATTAGGAGCAAAAACCTCTTTAGTCAGTGGACACCTTCAACCCGTAATAGGTGCACCTGTAGTAGCCACAAAATCGCAGCCTATTATAGCTTACCAATCTGGAATTGTTGCTTCCAAAACTACGGAATCCGAACAATCACAATCCATTGTACATCCTGCAACATTACCAAAAACGACTTACGTAGAATCAGCAATTCCTATTCATGTTCCACTCGTAAAGACAAATGCCGCTTTCATCAGACCAGAACCTATTATCGCTAGTCAAGTTTCGCCTTTAGTAAGTGCTCATATTGCTCCTGCTGTCCATTTTAATTTAGAACCCTTAGCTGCAGTGGCTCCCTTAGTACACGAGAAGGCAACAATTTTTCATCACGCACAACCAGCTATTCTTCCTGCTGTTCCGGTAGTTGAAACCAAAGCAGCTGTCACAGCTAAAGAACTGTCGCCCGTTGCATCTGTTGTTGGTACCAAAACTACTATTACAGGACAAGAACAATCGATTATTCACCCTGGAACTATACTAAAATCTCAACCAATTGTAGCTGTGAAATCAGTACCAGTACTAGCTGAACATATCCAATCTGTTCCTGTAGTAGCTGCACAACATGTTCCTGTCATAGGTACAAAAACTACTCTTTCAGAAAACGCCCAAACAGTAGTATCACATTCTTGGTAAATTTTATTGTTACCGGCACTAAATTGATTTATTTATTGCAATATTAGAACTATTTTACATCAATTCAAAAAAGAAGAGATAAATAAAATTATCCAAGATAATATTTCTGTGATTTGTCAAATAAAAATAATAAAAATATTCGAGTTTTATTAAAGTCAAAGAATTATAAAACAGTTATAATTGATTGGTATTTTTCTGAAACCGTGTTAGTACTGAGTTACCTCAGTGACTCAGTATTTTGAAAACAACTCTTTATCTGGAAGTAAAAATATCAAAATAAAGTTAGTTGTAAAAATTTTATTTATTTCCAAATAAAAATATATTACAAATTCAAGTTATCTTGCTTCTTGAAAAAGCAGAAAAACTAACCACAAATTACAACAAATAGCATGAAACAACACCAATCAAATTATAAATAAAACCTAAATACCAAAATGATCCCAAAGAAATTCAAGGACTGGTGCAAAGAAAACTAAAACCTAGGAAAACATTGTATAAAACAGAATTGCTTAACATAAAAATGTCCAACAGCATCAACCGATAGTTAAAAATAGAAATAGGATAATATAATCAAAAGTGAATCAATAAATCCTTAAATAAATAAACTTAAAGATTACCAAACCACTAACTACTCGTTGTAGAAATGTAAACAAAATTAAATACACCAACTAAACAGATTCCGCCGATTAGAAAAGAAGATGAAACATGAGCACGTCATAAAAAACAAAATCTCTTTTCTTTCTTCTTCTTATGGTGCCTATCCGTTACGGATGTTGGACACTAACATGGCTATTCTGATTTTGTTGACTGCTGCCCTGAAAAGTCCGGTAGTGGGTAAGTTAAACCACTTTCACAGGTTATGCAGCCAGGATATTCTTCTTCGTCCTGGACCTCTTTTCCCATGCACTTTACCTTCAAGTATGTTCCGAAGTAGGTCATTGACCAGGTGGTATCCTATTTTTGTTTATAACCATATATTTGGTTTTTTTGATGTTAAAATCAATCCCAAAGATGCTACTTACTTATGCCACCCTGGAGACAAGTGTCTGCAGACCTTCAAGACTGTCTGCAAAAATGACATTATCATCAGTATATCTTATGTTGCTCAATCGTTCTCCGTTTATAAGTATTCCCTCATCCATGTCCGTTAGCGCTAGGTTCATAATGTGCTCTGAATATGTATTGAACAATAATGTGGACAATATACATCCCAGTCATACACCTCTTTTTATCTTTATATCGTCTGGTAGCTAATCCCCAATTCTAATAGCTCTTTGCTTTATACTTCGAAAATGTATTTCAAAATCACAAAATGGAAAACAATGATCAATCCTGAAACGTTAACGATAAGAATACTGAATACGTTGTGAACATTACTAATCAAGGAATAATAAAGGCTACTATAACTAAAGAAGTAATCAATGTAATTAAAAATAATATTACTCCTAAAAAGGCTCTGGGAATTGACTTAATTATATGAGAAATATGCGAAAGTCCAATTTCCTACAAACACTCCGGGTTGCAGTTGGTACGAGAGAGGCTTTGTTCTTGATACAAGTTTTATTTCAAAGATGCAAACATCTCAACTGCGACGTATACGCTTGTCTCACTAATTACAACAAAGCGTTTGAACGAGTACCGTATAGGGATGGCGGTTTTTGAGAAAAACAGCGGTTTTCGGTTAAACCGGTTTTTTTGCTTACGGTTTAACCTGGCGGTTATAACCGGCAGAAAAAACGGTTTTTCCAAAAACCGGTTTTCGGTTTTTTTAATCAAATATGTTACAAAGTTACATTTACAATGCACTTTAGTGTGCGATACTTTATTCGACTCGATATCAATATGATCAAAATTAGTATTATCGAAAGAACATCAATATCAATATAAATAAAACACAATTTTTAATAAAACCATTTTATTATATTAGTTATTATATTTATTTATTATTTTATTATTATTATATATTTATTGATTTATCATTAAATATAATATAGCGTAAGATTAAAGTATAATATAAATAAAAAAGTATAGGTTAGAAGGTAACAAATAGGTTATATTATATGAAAAGAATTTAACGTTATGTTGGCCAGTATTTTTCATGAAGCCTATTGAATAAAACTCGTTCATATATTATGTTGGTCGGTTAAGCGGCTTCTCTCATCTGACACAATATCATTCAATGGTGACACCAGTCTCTCTGATGCTCCCGATCTTCCTACCAACGACATGTATTTTTAGCTATAAAAGCCAAGCCTGGCATACAGGATTTGTTCTGCTCCCATAATGAAAACGGAACACTTAATCTCGGCAGCATAGGCTGCTGCAGATATAGAGTCAGTTCATTTGGAAAAGAACTTTGAATCCGTGTGTCCTGAGAACTTAAACTGACACCACTGTTCACCAACACCAGATAGTGTGATGACTAAAGAGAGCTTAATGTTAAACTCACTTTGGCTTCTTTATTTTAGAAGGAGCAGAAAGGAGAAAGTTTTCCGATTTCGGTATGGTGCGTCCTAACTTCCGAGCCTAAATTGCATGTGACTGTCTCCACTATAGACGGATTCAGATATAGTTTTTTGAACCTCGGGTTGGTGATTGTAGCATGGCAAAGCAGGGGGTTTCGTAAAAGCTTAGTGCCCCTCTCTTGAAGGTTAGTTATAAGCTTTTGCATAATTTTTGGGCTGTATTAAGATTTGGCTTGAGGTTTTTTAAAGATCTTTCTATAATAGACACAACGGGGATAACAAGACAAGCAGTAATGTACTGGAAACCCGAGATCTCCTTTGTGGCCTCGTCGAAAGGTAATCAAATTGTTACAAATTCAGTGATTAGTTTTATATCTGAACCAGAAATCATCCTTGGTGCTTTTTTAATCGAGTGATCTGCCAGTATTGCAGCTATATATGGGGACATTAAATAGAGTCACGAATGTCGAGGTGTTGAGAAGAATAGGAAAAGATAAAGAGGTCTTAAATACAGTGATAGTCAAAAAACTGCAATATCTGGGACATATTATGAGGGGTGAGCGTTATAACTTGTTGCAATTAATAATGCAAGGAAGAATACAGGGTAGGAGTCGCGGAAGAAGACGCATCTCCTGGTTGAATAATTTAAGAGCTTGGTTTAACTGCACTTCTGCTGACCTCTTTAGAGCAGCGCCGTCGAAAGTGCGAATTGCCATGATGGTTGTCAACCTTTTTAAAGGAGATGGCACGTGAAGAAGAAGAAGGTGGGGACATTAGTGTGAATCTTTTAAGCATATTTAAGACAGAATTTTATCTGATTGGTACGGATTGTACCAAAAGCTTCACTTCACTTGCCCTCCCGTTTCTGCTCCATCCGTAACCTTTCCATGAAGCGATTGCTGTACCTAGCGAAAGTGACTATGGCTTTTATTTCGTTTATTATATTTTTTAATGCTACATTTCTTATATCTTCTAGGCCATCTGTGACAGCTAAATTTAATATGTGTAAAATGAAGCAGAGCTCACACTCGCCTCAGAAGCAGACGAAGATGCTTCCTGATAGCCTCTATGCAAAAAAGTTCCGATGTCCGCCAATTCTTTATTCTTAACAAAAACAAATTTCCCTATTAATTTTTTTACTTAAAATTTTCAAAAAAATGAGCCTACCTTTGGCTTATTTTCCAGATATTTTGGATGTTTATTTTTTAGGTGCTGCCTCAAATTCGTCGTGCCTCCTGGTTTTAATATTTTCAAACAAATGGAGCACTGTGCCTCATGTTGCTACGCTTGGAAAATAAATTACACACACACGATTTCGACATGGTAAAAATAAAAAATTCGAAACTTGAAGATGAAAAGAAGACGGGTTATTACTAGATTTATTTAGGCACTCCAAAAGTATAACTGGTCTTCAATGTCGTCATGAAAATTACTTGATTACTTGGATCGAAATTACATTTGATTTGTGTGAATCTCAAAGATTTGTGAATTTCAGTAGTCAGATGTAGAGAACAGTAAACCAAAATTCTTATACTACTGCTCAACAGAGAGCGGTGAAATAATTCAGCTTCTATTGTCATTGAATATATTATGAGAGTAGAATATAATATGCAATTATTGTATTCAATTAAATGATGCAAATTTAATTTACCCTTTGAAATAATTTCTATATACTTTAAAATACCCACCAATTTTCCTCTCCTCCCAAATCCAAAAAATTCCCCAACCATTTCAACATAAAATATTTCACAGAATCTTCAAATGGGATTTAAAAAAAAAATAATATCAACATAAATATTTTACTTAAAAATTAATTGGATAATGCAATTCATCTTATAATAATAATACAATCAAAAAATATTTATCATGTATTAATTTTAACACGTTTGCATATTTGTTTAATAGGTACATTACCTCATTTAATACTTCCTGTACTGTTTTGAAAACGTAGGGAATTCCTTGGAGATTCGTATTCGTATTCGATAATTCGATATTCATAGTCAGAACATTATTATTTTTGGTAATCAGAAAAAGCCATTCACCACTTTCAATGTCAACAGTCAAGTGTGAAAAATATGTAATGTACAAGATCACTTCTTATATAAATATTATGATTACAAATGCCTTTTCAACGAAATATTATAATAAAACTTAATTGTTTCTGGCTGATATGAGTTTGCACTTTCAGTTTGCTTCTGTATTTATAAAATAAAATAAAATTTGAATTATGTTTTTGTTTGGAATAATTACTTGAGAATAATAATTATGATTATAATCCAAAAGAATGCCTAAATAATACTAATAAAACTAAAAAACCTAATAACTGGTTTTTACTTTAAAAATAAAAAACCGGTTATAACCGGGACAAAAAACAACCGGTAAAACTGGTTATTGCGAAGTAAAAAACTGGTTAAAACCGGTATGTTTTCCATCCCTAGTACAGTACACCAAGATAATGCAAATACTAGAAGTAGCAGGAATTAATAACCAAGACCTAAAAATAATAAGAAAGAAATCTTTACTCTTTACTGGAAT